AAAAAAAACGTCTATGACCCCTAAAACAACATAAAAGCTAAGAACTATAAGCTTTTCTCACCTTTTATGAAACCGCAATATGCTGTTTGTTCGCCTTCTTTGAGGTGTTGCTTCCTTCCAGGTATGTACAAAACAAGCTTCATTCGCACACCATCCAAGATCCATACTTTCTCGGAACCACTGTAAAACAGAGTTATTTCAAGAACCACTTTTGAAGCATTTCAAAAATTCCACCTCCATTGTCACAAGATTTTTGCCCTGGCAAGAAGCCGGTGGTCGCAAATCGGGTGCAACAATGATGTGTGTAGCACTGGATGTGGTTGTAGTAACATGGCCTCCTGAAAAAAGATGACCGTAAGGCTCAAAGAAATGAGAATCAAAAGGGTGTAAAATCACAAACCATTTTCCTGTACAACGCTGTCAAGGTCTTCAACTGTTTCGTCGTTGATTCCCAAGAAACTGATTGCTAAACCAGCAAAACGAGGAAGTTTGCACGATTCCGACTGAATAAAAATTCGATGAAACTACAGCCTCGCATGATGAAGAAGAAAAACATGTATGAAGCTAGGATTACTTGTACTAAAAAATAAAATCAGAAAACTAACCAAGCCAGCAACGTCATCCAACGAGTCAAGATGTATGCACTGCTCAAGGAATTCTTCGCTGACAACAAAGATGCCTAAGGCTATGGCCCTCTACAAAGAGCGAAATTTATCATCTTCAAATCAGAAATGTATGTTCAAGTAAGAGTAAACTGAATTCATAGAAAAAGCAAAAATTATAAAAATCCGTAAAATAAGCAATGGTAACAACATTATAAAGTATCCAAGCAAAGCTGATCAGGTAAGTGGACGAGATAGGGTGGTCAAGGAAAATTATATGTCCCTACTATCATTTTAGCAAATTTGTGAGATAAGCATTGTTTATTGTTGAATTTAAAGAATAGGAAATTAATAAATAAAATGATGCAAACATATAAGCAAAGATAATCAGCGAGAAAGAATTTTAACAAAAAAACCTACCCTATAGTATGTATCTGTCACACTAGCTGCCACTAAATACTTGGTTCCAGACGAAAATGGCCTGATTCTAATGCCAAGATCCCGCAAAGCCTCTGGCCATTCCCTTTTTAGTACAGTAGATCCAAGTGATACGATGACTTTCTTTTTGAGCCGTTGTTCTTTTGACATGCGCCTAAATTTACAAACCATGTAGTTTGAACTGTGATAAATGAAGATAGAGGACTCAAAGTGCAGGGATGGAACTTCAAGGGCTCAGAACACCAGTTTCAAAAAGCGATTAAGCGCAGGCCTTATCAGTTGCAACAACATGGAAATAAAGATAACCGCGCAGTCATCAAAACTGGCGACAATTGTAAATTCTTACCAAAACTGATAGGAAAGAAAGAGTAAGCAAAAAAATAAACAGCGGTGTTCTGAAAACAGGTTCAAGAACACAATGAAAAGACGAAGTTCCAAAGATATGACTGAAAAATTCTCGGGCCTAAACCTTTCCAAAAAGTGAAAAAAATCTTCTACACC